TATTATTATTATCATTATTATTATTTTCCCTCGTCTTTTTTTTTGTGTTTTTTATTCTTTTATCCTTATATATATAAACATTATTTTTACCCTTTAAATTTTATCATTTTTATGTATATTCATTCCGTTTTATATTATCTTTTTTTATAATAGCTTATTTTTTAATCTTCATTTTCTTTCTTTTTCTTTTGGTGGTGATATCATGTATCGATTCATGTTAGCTGACCCCAATTTCATTTGAGAGTAAGGCTTGGATGTTGTTGTTGTTGTTGTTGTATCTTGAATCGATCTACCATGTCTTCGACGGCGGCTCCTTTTTCGAGAGCTAAGCCTCTTACATTTTAGGTTAAAAGATTATGGAGTACTGGACTCGTAAAAAGCCTCTTACGCTTTCGGTCTTGAGCGTTGACCATATACTCCATATAAAATAAATGATTTTTTTATATTTTTAAATATTTCGGTTTTTTCGGTTCGGTTCGGTTTTGAGGAGGCAAAACCGAAATCGAAACCAAACATGTTCGGTTCGGTTCGGTTTCTTATGTTCGGTTTCGGTTTTTTATCGGTTCGGTTTATTTGGTCGCAGTTTGATTTGATTCGATTCGGTTTTCGGTTTTCGGTTCTACGAACCCACCGAAAAAAAAAGTGCTGGGAAAGTAAATACGACTTCAAGTTTGTAAACTCGCGTATAGGACTAAATTATAACTTATTGACAAATACACCCTCACGTTTCAAACTGGATGCCGAAGTCATTTAAAACAACGAAGAAGGGACCGATCGAGTGCGGCATACTTAGTGTCCATTTCCCTCCGCCGCCAGCGCACAGCAAGTGGAAGGGCGAAGGCTTCTTAGATGACAAGTAGCAGGCAACCCAGGTGGCGTTGTGGTGGTCGGTGGTCCGTCATCGTCATCTAGTTGGCCCCTCCTCCACCCGCAACCAAGGGCGTGTAGATATACAGCCGGCACCGCGACGCTATAACTCCGGCGGCGACGACCTTCTAACAGAGAACCCCTAGCTAGCGGTATGTCTGCTCCGTTCGGATGTGGTCCCGTTGTCGACGCCCCTCTCATAGAAAAACAATGGAAACTCAAACTCTCTTCCTTCTTTTGAGTCGGGGGCGCCGGCGCTATGAGATTCAAAATTTTAGACTTGATTTATTGTGTGTATGGCCGTATTGCCAAGCTGGGAAGTTCTCCGTACACGATTCCTCCGTTTCCGTAAAGTAACTCGTTACGTTACAGAGTGTTTTGTGTGTGTGTGTGTATTCCACAACTCGTTAAAGTGGCTTGATGATTATGATGACATTTGTTTGCATGCTTATAAAAATTCAAAAAACTGATAAAAAAAAGTCGTTAACATTAAATAGTAACATTGTCACTCTCAAAAACGATATTACTACCAACACTGTAAAAAATGTAACAATGTTAAAATAATGTCAATGGTAAATATATTGACAAATGTAAAGAAAATGTCACATTGTCAAAAAAAAATATTACATTGTTAAAAAAGTCACAATGTCAACAGTGTCATTGCATCTTCAAAACAAACAATGCCACAACGACAACTTCCCACCAGTCTCCTAACGAGCTCCGTCAATAATCTGTTTTAGTTTGCCGGTGAAGTCTTCCCGTCCTTCGAAGATCTACATTGTCAAGAAAGCCTCGAGGACCTCTGGGATAAGGGTCAGTTTGGTCCTCGAAGTTGCAAAAAAGGAGTCAAATAAGTTCTTATATAGAAGATTCTGTCCGGACGTGCCATTTGAGGTGGCTCCCGGTGGAATTTTTTGATGAAATTTTTTGAGCATCTTATTCATTAAGTCTAGTTTACTCATACCAAATTTCAGATAAAAATTCAATGGGGAAGACATTCAAATGAATTCTTGAAGATAACTGTGCCGTTAAAAGCGCCGTTATCTTCAAGAATTCATTTGAATGTCTTCCCGATTGAATTTTTAGCTGAAATTTGGTATGAGTAAACTAGACTTAATGAATATTATGCTCAAAAAAATTTATCACAAAATTCCACCGGGAGCCACCTCAAATGGCACGTCCGGACATAATCTTCTATATAAGAACTTATTTGACCCCTTTTTTGCAACTTCGAGGACCAAACTGACCCTTTACAAAAAAGAAGAATTTTGTTTTTTTCCAAAAAGAAGAAGAAAGAAGTTACTAAAGCAGAATATGAAATTAGCATATACGTACATCACTACCTCAAGAGAGGAACAGATCGGAGACGGGAGAAAAGAAGACAAGAAAGGAGAGGAGGGCCTGGCAGAGCTACCTCTGCTGCACCCTGTCTCATCGTCAGCTATTTCACGCCATTCAATCCAGGTGAAGAAACAATTTGTTGGGCTACCTTCTCCTTTCAAGTGTGTCGTCGTTGCTCTTGTAACTTCGCCGCCACCGCCCTTCCCAACTCTCCACTGCGCATACATCTGAGGAAAGAAAAATCGAATTTCTGTGAAAGGGCGAGAGCAAATGGCGGAAGCAATCCAGACGGAGGAAAGAGATTAAACAGGGTATTCATATATTGGAAGGGCAAAATAGGGAGTAGAAGAGGAAGAGAAAGAGAAGAAAGAGGAGGAGAGGAGAGGAAAAGAGAGAACACAGCAAGGCCTCCCACCGCACCGCCGCATCTTCTCTGCCTTGCTTAGCTATGGAGGAGAGAGAGGGGGTTTGGCGAGATTGTTGCATGAAAGGAACAGGTTGTTGCCGAGAGATAAAACAGGGTCAATTTTGGAAACGCGCAAAAAATAAGTTCTATTTAGAAGTTAAAAAAGTCAGGTCTTATTAAAGTAGATAGAGAAAGTTAAGATCTTATTTAGCACCATTTCCCTTAATTTATTTTGTTGTAGTGATAGAAGATTTTATTCAAAGCTTAAAATCAATCTATACAAGGATGACACAGCTCAACCTTTATCTTATAAGTTGCCACAACATAACACTGAGCTTAGTAATACTAATTTTTATTTTGCAAATGTCAATTTTGTTTATTATGTCTTTCTTTTAAGTTTTTTTTTTGGCTAAAGGGTCAAATAGGTACATAAACTAACTTAAAGTGTTCAATTAGCCCCTTATATAGGAGGTTCTGTCCGGCCGTCGCCAATTGGGGCGGTTCCCGGTGGAATTTTTTAATCAAAATTTTTGAGCATCTTCTTCATTAAGTCTAGTTTACTCATATCAAATTTCAGCTAAAAATTAAATCGGGAAGGAAGTCAAATGATTTTCCAAAATGTACTACGTTGTTTACCTGCGCAGTTATCTTCAAAAAATCATTTGACTTCCTTCCCGGTTGAATTTTTAGCTGAAATTTGGTATGGATAAACTAGACTTAATGAAGAAGATGCTCAAAAAAATTCATCAAAAAATTCCACAGGGAAACGCCCCAATTGACGACGGCCGGGCAGAACCTCCTATATAAGGGGCTAATTGAACACTTTAAGTTAGTTCATGTACCTATTTGACCCTTTTGCCTTTTTTTTCACTTTTTTGTCTTAACCATAACAGTTAATCAATCATTGAATCAACCTAATGATATGCCAAAAGAAGCTCATGTTATGCATAATACTATACATTATTGTCTAATGAAAAGGCTAAAGGTAATGACCTAAAACAATGATATCTTGTTATTATAGTTTGTTGTTATCCTCATATGATATATATGTGTGTGTGCGCGCGCGCATGTAATATTTGTTTACAGGTTCACTTGGCAAAAATAAAACGAAGAAGGTAAGAAGAATAAATAAATGTAAAGAAGTGGCCAATTTGAAAAGGGGGGAGAAACTTAAAGTCAGATTTTATGACAATCGTGTTGCTGGCGAAAATCATAAATCATTTTTGAGGCATTTAGGAAATATAATTCGCAATTGTCAAATTTGTCCATTAACGGTGACTGAATGGGCAAATATCGATGAAGACAAGAAAAACACATGTGGGATGCCGTAACGGTATGAATATGAATTCATTTGTTTATGATGTGTGTACTGAATTGTAATTTCTAAGTATGCTTGGATTTTGGGCACCACAAAATGTTGGGTTTAATTCCAATTTAAAATTATTTAATTCAGGAAATATTTGAGGGTTTTGATCTTTTGGATCGGCGAGATCATGTTCTTTCACACATGCGGGAGTTATGGAACAAATGGAGATGATGGATGCATTTTACATATGTGAAAAACAGGACACCGCTTGAAGCATTGAAAAAGGTTCCAACTGGTGTAACTAAAGAAGATTGGGGATGGTTAATAAAGAATTACTATTTTACTCCAGAATATAAGGTATGTACTTCAATTAGCTCTTCTTATTTCTCTGAATTTGCTAATTAATTTTCTAAATTCTTCATGTGGTTAATGATGGATTTCTGTGTTTTGTTGAGATTTCGTTTTTATATTTAATTCATGTACATGCCATTTTTAAAAATAATTCAAAAGTAATAACTATTTCCTTACACTATTATAAAAAGTGCAGCAGAATGAACTCCTTGAAAAGGTCAGCCCCGCCTTACCAAGCAGGGCGCGGTCAAGGTTGGCCCTGCCGACTTTCCGCCTCTCATGGCTTAGGCGGGGAGCCAGATCCCTAATTAGTTCCCCAAGTGGTCTCGGATGAGAAATAATTACATGAACGAGGAAAATGAACCAGGACATAGATATGAGATTACGTGACAAAACAGCCTATGAAGGGCCTGCCAACAGAGTTGTATATTTGCGAAGCAAAACAGAAGTGCAGGATGTAAATAGATAAGTAAATGAATAAAAAAACAAGGAGAAGAAGTCACAATCTACGATCTAGGGATCCGGCATGTTCTCGGGAACATTATCTAGGACGGTCGCAAAATCAAAGGCGTGTGCCAAACCCTCCAGGTCATCTGGAATATCCAAGTGCAGAAGGGACAAATTGTTCTCTTGCTCCTCTTCCTCGTCAGGATCTGGCATGATCTCGGGCAAACCGAACTTCACGGGATGAAAGTCGGAATAAAGCTCGGCCAGCCTGTCGTAAAGTGTCTTCTGCATGTCATACCGGCCACACCTGAAGGAAATGAGAACCTCCTTATCTCGCCAAAGCCGACCCTCCTTGGTTTCCATCCATGTTCGAACCTGTTCCGAACGTTGAGCTTCCATCCTAGAAGTGACAATCTCTAGAAACTCTGGGGAAGCTTGGAACGCCGCAACCGCCTGACGCCCCGCGTCTGTGGACGATGCCTCCAGTTGATCATATTTTGATTGAAGCAGGTCATACTTTGACTGGAGCTCAGCCAAGGCAGCCTCTGCCCGACGCTGAACCTGGTACTGGAGCTCTTCGCGCTGGCGATCTAACGCTTGAAACGCGGTAGTTAAATCCATCAGCCCCTACAGGAAACATGAGATTAGCGATAGAGAAGTAAGACGACACGTGAAAGACGAGGAATCAACCTACCTCTGTGTGAGATTGGATAGAACGTGCCACCAAGTTAAATAGATTGGAAGATATCAAATAATCGCGATTCCCGGAAATCAAGGACGGAACGATGCCCGCTGCCCTCGCCACATCTGAAGACGAGGGAATGATGGAAGCAGAAACTGGATGGTTGACAAGGGAAGCTCTACACCTCTCCCCTGTAAAAGACGGAATGACATTAGACTTCGAGGGCCGAGGCATGGCATCTTCCTTTGCGGCCAAGGCAGCGAGTGAGCCCCTCCTACCTACGACATATACAAGAAAATAAATGGGTTAAGACCTCGTAACAGCTAGATTATTACTTCATTCCCGAATGAAGGAGAAAATTCACACCTTTCTTCTTGGCAACCTGACCTACGTGAGACGGGGAAGCTCCGCGCTTTTCCCCGACAGCTGCCTCAGACATGCCTACGTCGAACCAACCCGCATTTTCACCAAACGGCGAAGGCTGGGGCATAGCATCCTGCACCGCGACCAGGGGGGGAAATGTTTGGGTCTTACCTAGCATACCTGCAAGAAAACAAATAGGGTGAGATGGGGTCATACTGGTCGACCTGTCTCCCCTTTCCCACCTAGAGAGCAGCTTGCACATTTCCCATTTTTTGCAACCAGCTCTTCGGAAGACGAGGAAGCCATACGCTTGTCCCCAACGTCAGATGAGCCCGCGTTGGATTCCATGGGATGGGAGGTAGCGTCCTGCACGGCAACCGGGGCGCCCCTCCCGCATACCGTGTCTGCAAGGAATAAACGGTGTGAGAAAACATAACAAATGACAAGACGAATTTTAGAAACAAGAAACCTACCTAAATACTGGGCGATAGGGTAAGGGCTTCCTTGGAATAAAATGTCAACTTCCTTCTCGAGTCGGGAGTGAGGGAAACAGATCCGTGTTTGCACACCAATCTTCCCCAGGTGAACGTGATGGAAGACGCAGGAGGACCGGACGCCCATAACCATCTACTCTGCCTCTTCCTTATATTATCATGATATTGGGCGAACAATTTGTGAGTACGTGGTTGGAAGATCGACAAAAATCCACCGTCATCTAGTTTGCGGCTATGACGGTTCCAGCGGAAGCAATGGTGAAACAAAGGCACGAATTGCTGAACGGACGCGTGCTCACATTGGGCGATGAAGGCGGCAATAAGGATGTGAGCAGACGGGGCCATCTGGCTCGGTGATATATTGAGATACCCAAGGAGTGCCACCAGGAGAGGATGAAGAGGCACTTGCATACCTCGCTCTAGAGACGCAATATGAACACCAAAAAACAGTTTCGAAGGAGGATCACCCAGATCATCGTCTTCGTCCGGAAGTACAAGGGTGCAGTTAGGACCAACCAAACACAACGACAACTTCAGGTCTTCTGCTATGCTAGCTGGTAGAGTGAAAACATCTAACTTTCAAAGAGTTTGGATCCTCAGCGCTACCTGACTCCGAAGATCCTTCCTCTGACTGGGATGCACTATCCTCGTCTAATTCAGAGATCTCCTCTACTTGGATGGGAATGGCCGGCAGCACACTTCTCTCAGGAGGACCATTTGGGGGAAAACGAAGACGCCCCTTGGAAATAGTGATCTGCATGGGAGGTCCGCTCGACACGGATGATGTGACAAGTCGCTGCCTAGAAGAACTGCTGTCAGTGTTATCATCAAAAGGCTCCTGGACTGTTTTGGTGATTATCATCTCTTTGTCGATTCCGAACGGCTTTCCTTCATCTCCCACCCGAGTTCGTGCAATGCCATCTCCGGGTTGATGTTGTGCATGTGTGGCACTGCGTGGCATCTGTGAGGACTCTCCAGCATGCGTGGGCCCAACCCCAGCTCTGAGCGCGGTATTCTCAGGCACGTGTGCAGCTCGTACGTCCTTAGTAGTAGGCTTATCAACATTACCACCTGAGCTGGTCCGAGACTGAGGAGGTTGCATTAGCGTCCCAAGGTTCCGCTGGTCAACCTCCCCATGTGCCCGTCCCGAAATGGGTCCATCGACAATACCACCCAGAATTGTCCGAGACCGAGGAGGTTGCGTTAACGTCTCAAGGTCCCGCTAGTCAACCTCCCCATGTACCCATTCCGGGTCGGGTCCATCAACAATACCACCCGGAATTGTTTGAGACCGAGGAGGTTGCATTAGCGTCCCAAGGCTCCGCTGGTCAACCTCCCCATGTGCACGAACAACATGGGATTGGACGCCGTCTTCATGGTGTCGTGGAAGCTGCCGGTCGCGCACTTCATTATCCCTGTTATTCCGAGGACGTGGAGGCAGCTCAAGGTGTCGATCATCTCCGTCAGAACGAGGTGGTGTAGGCCGGGATTTGCATGCAGAATTGCCAAGTCGTGGAGGCGGCCTTCTCTCCCGTTGAACCCCAAGCTGAACATCTGGCCGAGGAAATTCGCCGGTAGCAGGATTCTCAGAGTCGTCTCCCTGTTGGTTCCAGTCGCGTTTGAGAATATGCCGTTTGGTCTCGTTCTCCGCAGGACTGGGCATGGGGGCTCGGTTCTTCGTTTGGGGCAGTGTTGGCAGTGAAGTAGTGGGTCTTCCTTGATGATTTGGGCGATGCGATTGCAGTGGCGAAGAGAAGCTGTAAAAGCGGAGTGGTCACCATTATATATTAACGGAGGCAGTGGGGGTAAGAGAGGCATTGGTTTGGGCGAAGGAAAATGGTTGGACACAAACGACTATCGAGACTGATGCCTTATTAGTAGTGACCGGCATTCAAGGAAAGTTGGGTTTGTCTTATTGTGATATTATTCTTGATGATATTCAGCAAATTTTAAACACAAACATAAACTTTAGTGTTAATTTTTGTAGACGATCTGCGAATCGTGTTGCTCATTATCTAGCTAGAGCGGCTGTTTTCTTGCCAGGTTGTAAGGACACCTATACTACGGTGCCCGATTGCCTTGTAAGCCACTTTTCTAATGATTGTTTGAATTAATCTATATGAAAGTTTCCCATAAAAAAAATATTTATCACGAACCCAATCTCTGCCAAATAAATATTCTATTTTACGTAAAACGTTTTCAAGGAAATTAAATGCCCCTGACAGAAATAGTCGTTCAATTTTTCGTCAAAGTGATGTCAAGGATCGCATTTGTTACAAATTTGAAATATCATATTTGTCACGAATATTTTTTTTTTGTCACGAATATTTTTTGAATGACAAATGCTCCGGCTCTCATCGATTCTTCCAGCGTTGTGCTTGTAAAGGATAAATCCTATGACGGTTCCTTGATAAACTTTGTCAATGATTCAGAAACCTTGACAAAATTGTTGTCACGAACGTGAAGTCAAGCATAAAATCCTTTACAAAATCCTTTGCAAAAGCGTTTGTCAAGAATTTTTTGCGGAGTTATCTTTGATCAAATCCTTGATAAAATCGTTTTTTGTAGTGAGCTGTGAGTAGTATCACGGAGTACTGATGTAATAATGAACTATATAATTCAATTGAGATTGATTTCTTTAACACTCAAATAATACGTAGAGACTAAGTTGCAAATAAATTAGTTAACATAATACAATAGTATTATCTGTCCACGTATGCATAAAGTAATTCAAATAAGAAGTATATATATATAGTTGTTCCATAGTTAGCATATACGAAGTCAGGGCCGGCTTGAGGATAGTAGAGGCCCTAGACAAAAAACACTAAGTATTGAGCCTATCAAAATCTATTTTGAAGTATCAATTCATAGATCGGTCAAGCGATTTTATAATCAAATCCCTACATATGTAAAGAGTATTTAATATTCTCTTTTGCATGTACAAACATAAATTTTCGTGTATTAGTCGTAACAAGACCTATATATTTTTTAATAAATTCACAAATAAAACAATAACGAAAAGGATGAAATTAGAAAAATCACAAGCAAAATAAATGACCTTTTAAAGATCAAATTAAGTAAAACACCTACTTATAATTTTACAAATTAAACTGTTTGAGTATGTACTATTTTTTTAAAATAGAGACAATTTTATACATCTTATACGGAGTACTACTTAACACATTGTTACAAACTTTGAAGTAAGGATATTTTCTTTTGGGCCGAAATTTGCTAGTCTGGTTTGATTTGGTCTGAACTGGTGTTGTTTGATCTGGTAAATGTCTGGTCTCTATGTATTTTATAACTAAGAAAGTCTGCTAATCTGGTCTGGTCTGGTCCCATGTGTTGGTCTGGGATGGGACTAAAACCAATCCAAAAAAAACATTCTAACAACAAGAAATTAAAAGCCATAATGCCCATAAACAATAATAACAGCAAGGCAAGGCAACAACTTATAAGATATATATAATGGATGATGGATCTGTCCTCTTTCCATGTTTACTTTTCGGAATTGGGGGTACCAGATTATCACCGTTCTTTGCATCCAACGAATTCACCAATTAGAAGAACCCAATATGCTTCGTGATTAACTGATTACTACGTAGAAAGTTTTTAAAAGATGAGGCCCTAGGCAGCTGTCTTTGCAACTCCCATATAGCCGGCTCTGTACGAAGTATATATAAGAAGTATATATATAGTCATGACATGAAGAGCTTGACACACAAATTATATGTTACGTAGTACATGGAATAGGCACCAAAATATGATTTTTTTCTAGTTTACCAAAAAAAATTGATTTTCTTACAAAATATAATAAAAATAGGTGGTACATAAATTCTAGATTACACGTGTTACAAAATAACAACCATGTAGTCATTTGTTCGTATTGAAATGATTTGATGAATAACATTAACAGTTTGAATTTCCTCCAAATCCTCACCCTGATGCAAGTGGGTGACAACTCTGGTACCCATTTAAAATATGGGGTACCATCCCTTCCATTCACTTGATTGGTCCATATCATTATATCATTTTTAATTTGGATTTAATTAACTCAACTGTATCATTCCTATTGGTCCATGTGGTCAAAAGTATGATACCTTATGGGTACCATAGAATCCGTGCAGGTATCCATCATCATGGCAGTAAATGAGGAAATGATATCCGAGTCGTATTGGGAAAAAGGGGCTAAATATAAATTATATAATCTCTTCTAATGAACGCATAATTGGTGCCTTTGTGCCCTCTTCGGTCATGTAGTCTGTTTTAATTTTAAAAGAAAAGAAAGCATCATCGTTCTATTCGAGATAGGATATGTTTGGCTTAATAATCCTGCTAGTGGGGATACTTCAATTTGGAGGAGTGGAGCTTTTAATTAACTTAATACGGAGTATTTTATTCCATTGTGCTGATCATTCTACTTGCGGAGTTCTGATCGATCATCATAAAATGTGCGAATATAGTCATTGGAGTATTCAGAAATTTTGTTTAGTGGGGGCAAGTTTACGTACACTAACATTATCACATATTTTTTAGAAAATAAATACGATAGTATTAATTAAGAAAAGAGGGAAAATGCTATATAACCTAAAAAAAAATACGCCACTTGGAGTTATAATAGCCTCTATTTTATTTAATGAAGTACATAACACTTGTTTTGCTTAATATAAAAATCCGTCAAATATTAACTACCATAGTACGATATATAAACTTCCTAATTGTGGTTGCAAATACAAGTCTTTTAAAATATCACATCATAATACTTCGTCGACTCCAATCATTCAAAGAGAAGTTGGATGTGAACTACAAGGGAATCACTGCTTGCTTCATAGAGGCATGATCCATTTATGATACTGGAAGGAAATAATTTCGGACTAAGAGCATCACCATTCCTAATCCCGTAAAAATCACGCTTTCTAGCATTCTTGCCTTTTAAATATTCTTACATAATTAATTTTTAAATAATCTCAAAATCCATTTATGCCTCCCAACCATCATCTTCAAATAATCCGCTTTTTTCTCCGTCCGACATTAACGTATTACCCATACTTTTCAAATAATCTTAAGATAATCCGGATTCATATTTTGATCCCGGATTATTCTAGCAAATAATCTCATTAAATAATCAATGTCTCCCAATGATACTTCTCTAAAAAATCTGCCATGTCACTAATTTGATCCCTCAATAATCCTAACAATGAGGATGCCCTAAGAGAGATCTT